GCAGCTGCTTTCTGTAAAGCAGGGCGAGCTGCCAGTGCTTCCTGCTTTCCAGCCCCGGTGTGAGACGGAGCGTCCCACACATGCCGCGGGCCAGTGGTTTCTGTTTGGGGAATTTCTCTCCCCATTTTAACACCCAGCCACACACTCCTAGGCCTCTTGCTAAGAGCAGTGTTTACCTCATAACTGCTTTTACTGGAAATGAGGGGGCAGTCGAGAGGGCCCAGACCAGCCCCGAGCGACGCAGCCGTGCCAAGGCACCTGCCCCACTGGACAGTGGTGTTCCCCCTCCGCTGCACTGTCCCCCCCACTGTGGCCATGCCGGGGGCCCTGCTGGGCTGTGCCAGGGGCCTTGCTGGGCTGTGCCAGGGTGGGGGCTCTGCTTCAGCCCGGAAGTGCCCCACAAGGCGCCCAAGGCCCTGGGTGGAGACTCCCCAGTGGCCTGGACAGCAGAGGCGCCACCTGGCAGCAGCTCCGAGCTCCCGGAGGCTCCACCGGGAAGGGGTGCCCACCCGGGTGCTCGCGGCTCAGGGCAAGAGAGGCAAGCCCTTCATAGCAGCAGGCGGCCACTTGACCTGGGCTGAGACTGCATTTGTGTCTTTGTGCTCAGCATTGGCCAGCAGGCGCCTGCGCACACGGTGCCTAGACCGACCACGGGCGGGCCCTGCTCCGTTTGGTGCCTTCTGGGGAACTGCGAGGGCGGGCGGGCCGTCCCCCACACATGGCCCCCGTGGGCAGACCGTGCCCCACACGTGGCCCCCGTCGCGAGGTGCTGGGTGCGGCCCTTCCGTGAGGCACAACAGCTGTGGCCCCTCGCCTGCTCCTCTGTGCCGCAGGGAGGTGGGTGCACGGCCGGGACGCAGGCCTGACCGCCCGGCCCCGTGTGATTGCAGGCAGCGTTCTCCAGATCGTGTCGGCACCCGGGCAGCCCTACCTGCGGGCCCCGGGCCCCATGGTGATGCAGACCGTGCCTCAGGCGGGCACTGCGCACGGCACCCTGGGAAGCAAGCCCCTGGCCAGCGGCCCGAGCCCTGCAGCCCTGGCCCCACAAGGTAGGGTACTGCACACGGGAGGAGGTGGCCCGAGCTCCCTGTGGCCAGCCCTCCCGTGGCCTGCGAAGGCAGGCGTTGGCATCCTCCACACTAGTATCCCGGGTGTGGCCGAGCCTGGTGGCCACGTGGCCGTCATCAATGTGGTCTGCTGCGCTCCTGCTGTCTGGGGTCTTGGCTGGATGGGACTGGCCTCTGCCTCCACAGGTGTGTGTCCCGACCTTGTTCTAGCAGGAGACCGAGCACTGTGAGTGGTCCCGCTTGTTAGTGTGTCACCAACTCGCAGGGCATGTGCTCGGTGTCTGCCACCACCTGCTGGCTGGCATCTGCCGTCCCCTCTGCCTCCACCCCAGCCCTGCCCGCCTCACTGTACCCTGGGAGCGCCTCTGTAGGGTGGAGGCTGCAGGTGGAGTGTCAGGGGCCGCTAAGCGGAGCCGGGAGGGCCGGTCATTCTCCACTCTGCTGGCCTCCCCCAGCTGCAGCTGCGACCTGCCGTGGCCAGGTGTCCCTGCCCTTCTGAGAAGCTGCTTCTCTCACCTGGGGATGTAGAGCCGATGCCACCCCTGCCAGGGGGTAATGAACCCCAGCTCTACAGGGCCCTCTGGCTCAAGAGGCCTGGCCTGCGTGTCCAAGCCTGCTGCTCCCTCTGGTCACCTGAGGCAGCGGCCGTCTCAGCCCAGGCCCTGCAGCCCTCGGGTCCCTGTGTGCCGATCGCCACGGCTGGTGGGGAGCGCAGTACCAGAGTCTGCACAGACCCGCAGTGGGTGCTGGGATGGTTCTCCGTGGCCCTGGAAACTCTGCAGGGAGTCGCCAGGCTATGGCCTGGGATTGACTCTGATGTGCGCAGAGCCTTGTGACCACCAGGGCAGCGAGGCAGTGGCCGGGTCTGAGGTGTGCACGGCTCCTGTGAGCACATCGGACCCTCCCATGGAAGACGCCCGGCCGGGCCTATAGCTTCGGCCCAGACCACGGCAGGAACCCAAGCTATCCCTGGCAGCTCTGCGTGTCAGAGGCTGTGCTCCTCACGTCCCTTGCACCCCAGGCATGCGCTGTGAAAAGCGCGGCCCCACAGCCTGGTGGAGGCCCATGCGGGTTGGCATCCCTCCTCACCCGTCACTTTGCATTTGTAGCTGGCGTTCCTGGCCGGGTGGCGGTTAATGCCATGGCTGTGGGAGAACCTGGACTGACCTCCAAGCCGGCCTCTCCCCTGGGAGGGACGACCCAGGTAGGTCCCCAGTTGCTAACGCAGTCCACTCAGGGTGCTCGGCCTCCGTGTGGCCTGGTCGGCTGCGACATCCTGGACACGTCACGTCCCTCTGCGCTGCAGGCCTTTGTTGTTTTTTAAGGATTTTGCCGCAGGGCATGTGTGGTTGCTGGAGAGACAGAGACAGCAGAGAAATCACCCCCAGGGGATGCCGCACCGCAGTCTCTTCCCCACTCACCTCGGGATCCTGGGCACGCCCGCTCACATGCCCGGTGTGATTCTCGGGGTCCTGGGCACGCCCGCTCACATGCCCGGTGTGATTGTCAGGCTGCCAGGCCCAGGACCCAAACCAGTCAGTTGTGTGGGAATCTCGCGTCTTCACCAAGCCACCTGCCGGCCCTGCATTTAGATTTCAGGACGTGGTAGACTCCCTCTCATGACAGTGCAGCTGGGCTCCGGTCCCACAGGTCTCCTTCTAGACACCCTCCCTCAAGTCTTCCTAGCGCTGGGAACGCTTGCCCGGGTCTCGGGAAACACCCTCGGTTGGGGTGAGGGTGCTTGTCCTCTCTGGCTCGAGTCTAGAGCAGGGCCCAGCACCGAGGCTAGCACTGCACTCCAGGGGCCGCATGTGCCGTGTGGCTTCTCCAGTCCCTGTCTCCATTGCTGACACGGTCCCGTTTCGATAAAGGAGGAGAAGGCCCGACTCCAGAGAGAGCGGCTGGACCAGCTGCACCGCGTCAACGAGCGGCGCTGCTCCCGGGCCCCGGTCTACGGCAGGGACCTGAGAGCGGCCTGCTGCCTGCAGGCTGGGGCGGAGGCTCCGTGGCCCGGTTGGCAGAGGCAGCCCCAGAAGGGTTTGGGGCCATCCCCCTGTGACACCTCACCCTCGAAAAGCAGGGGCGGTCTGATTCTGACGCGGAGCCAGCGCCAGGAGGCCCTGCAGGACATCATGGACAGGTGAGCCCGTGTCTCCTGGCACAGCTCCGTAGCTGTCGGCCACGTCCTAACAGCTTCTCCCGGCCACCCTCTGGCGTGTTGGGGATCGCTGGTGCTGCTGGTGCCCTCTGGCCCTGCCCACTGCGGCAGCCTGTGCCCAAGGGTGCAGCCGCAGCCTGGCGGGACTGCTGAGGGGCCAGGTACGCCGCGGGGCTGGGTGCAGGCCTCCGTCTGAGACCGCTCTAACATGCCGACGCGTGGGCCATGCTGGCCCTGCTGCCGCCTCGCCCGGTCCTGCGTCTCTGCCAACCCTGACATGCATCTCCATTCTCCATGGTGGTCACGGCTCCACCCGTACCTCCTTTCCCTGAGGGAGACGCCGCTGCCCCCCACGCCAGATTAGGGCCAGAGAGAATGTGGAAGGAGCAGGTGGGGTGTTGCCCCAAGGCTGCTGAGCCAGGCCCCTCTCCCGTCTGCATGGGGGCAACTTCTTGGGCTCAAGGGCACCTCTCCCCAGCACTGCTTTGTCCTAGATTTCCGCCTCATCGGTGAACACGTCAGTTGGGAGCGGGCCGCAGAGAGCAGCTGCCACTGGCGTGCTGGGTGTGGGACCTCTGGAGCTGCCAGGCTGCTTGGCCGTCCCTCCCACGGCTGCAGTCCAGCACCTCCTGGTGCCCACAGCGTACCTGCCCCCTGCTCCTAGCTGAGCACAGACCACTCCGACCTAGCTCCTGTGGTCTGGCCATACAGACCGGCTGTCTGTTAGTCCTGGGAGTCTGCCAGAGCCATCATGGCGGCTGCAAAGGCAGGGTCACTGAGGTGGCCAGGACCAGGCCCAGGTTGCTCTCTGGGAACCTGACTGCTGGGGCTGCTTCCTGGTCCTGCAGAGCCTCTGCTACCATGAGCCTCCCTGGTGCCAAGTGGTGACCAGGCATGCTTCTGCTCCTCAGGGTGGCCTGTGTGATCCCTCCAGTGGTGGTGGAGCCGCCGTCCCTGTGGGTGGCCCGGCCACCCCCGCTGCACTGTCACAGGATGCGGATGTTACGGCAGCGCCTGTGGGAGCACGCCGCACCCTACTCCCAGCAGCTGCGCCGGCTGACCACCCCCCGCGCGCTGCAGTTCCCAGAGCTGAGGCTGGTGCAGTTCGACTCTGGTAGGCGGAGCCCGGTGCCGGGAGCAGGGCGGGCGGGGTGTGGTCCGGCCTCGGCCACAAGCTCTGACGTGCTCCGTCTCCCAGGCAAGTTGGAAGCGTTGGCCATCTTGCTGCAGAAGCTGAAGTCTGAGGGCCGCCGCGTGCTGATCCTGTCACAGATGGTCCTGATGCTGGACATCTTAGAGCTGTTCCTGAATTTCCACCACCTCACCTACGTGCGGATCGACGAAAACGCCAACCGGGAGCAGCGGCAGGTGAGGCGCGGTCCCGCGGTCCCAGCTCCGCCGCCTGCCCTGGTCTGTCTGCCTGGTTTCTGAGCGCTGTGTAAGTTTCCAGCCAGCACCGTCCTCTGGCCTCATGACAGAGGGCCACGGCGTCCCAGCAGGGTGGTGGCTGCACACGTGTGCACACAGGCGTGGCGGTGACCTCCAGGAGCAGCTTGGAGGGAGAGCGTGTAGCCATGCACGTGGGAACGCAGGGCTACCCGCTGGGCTGCGTACCCTCTCTGCGTCCCGTGGGGCCATGTCGAGGCCCTGGGCACGTTCGGGTGGCTGTCCTCTTGGTTGGCCAGCTCTCAGGTTCTGTCTTGGCGTGGGGGTAGTTCTGGAAAGTCTCCCATCAGGCTAGCCAGTCCTCGGCCCGCGGGGGGTCCCGCCGCCACCTTCCTCAGCCTTACTCCAGGGGCTTTCTGCCCGTAGAGTGCCCTGGCATTGCCTGAGGAGACAGCGAGAGCACGTTTCCCTCCCCAGGAAGACACTGTTCTGTGGGGCCTAAAACGAGCTGACAGGAGCCGGGAGCTGGGCTCTCGTGGCCGTCCCCGTGATGGGCTTGTGCTCGTGTGTCGTCCTGTCTGTGGCCACAAGGCGGCTTGTGGCCTTCACACTGTCACAGGGATGTCTGACCACAGCGGAGCAGCGGGGGCCGACGCTGCCCCCCAGTGCAGACCCGGTCAGGCGGAGCGAGCCAGCAGTGAGGCTGTGGGGTAGTTCTGTGGGTAAATGCCGACATCACCAGGGTCTTCGGTGTCGGGGTGCCGATCTGCGGTCTGCTCCCTCGTAGGCGCTGATGAGGAGCTTCAACAGGGACAGGCGGGTCTTCTGTGCCCTCCTTTCCACTCACAGCCGGGCCACGGGCATCACCCTCGTGGAGGCCGACACCGTCGTGTTCTACGACAACGACCTGAACCCCGTGATGGACGCCAAGGCGCAGGAGTGGTGCGACAGGATCGGGAGGTGCAAAGACATGCACATCTACAGGTGGGGCCCTCGGCGGGCGTGTCCTGCCATGGCGCGTGCTGCGGCCTGGGTCTCGGCTGCGTCCCCGCTACACGAGTGTCCGCCCTGCCCCCCCGCCCGCCCTCAGCCGCAGGCCGAGGCGTTGCGCCGAAA